TGAATGCCACAAATTCTCCTAAATCACTCGTACGCACAACTTAAGAACAAATCTGTGCGTACGAACGGTTCTTGCATGAGGCCCATTGTTTGCATTTTTAACTTTAAGCGGTAACTCACCAGAATGCTTCTGTACATGTTGCCATTGTTTTGGCCCACGTCCACGCTAACCCTGATGATGCAGGAGTCGGCCCCCTGATKGTTATACACGGGCAGGGAGTTCATGGAAACGGAGCGTTTGTGATGGGAGGCCAGASGAGGAGTAGGGTGCGAGGCTGCCGAGCAGAGGTCTGTGCTGCAGTCAGGAGAGGAGCTGGAGGGAGAAGGAGACTCTGACGAGGAAACTGCTGAGGGGCAGGGGGAGGACAAAGAGGATGAGAAGGCCTCAGACATGTTGCTGCAAGAGCTGTGGAAGGACTGTAGAGGAGCAAGAGAGAAATAAACAAGAAACAACGTTTTTAGTTGTCATTGTAAATAGTAATAGCACTTGTAGCACTTTCGAAAACAGAGAAGTATTAATAMTTTTCTAAGACACCTGAGAGTTTASTATACACAATAACAGACTTTTGAAGTATCTTGATAATATCTTGTATGAGCACCAGTATGGTTTTAGAAAGAACTGTTATACATATATGGCTCTCCTGCATCTTAGAGAAAAGATTTTAGCTTTTTTCAAGAAAAAATAATGTGCTTCAGGAATATTCTTGGACTTGTGTAAAGCTTTTGACACTGTAGATTATGATATTCTATAATGTGACTTGAAAGGATGCAACCCCGGGTGCAGGACTGAATGAGTGGGGCAGTAAAAATGCATTTACAGAAATCCAGGAGCATGAACAGGTAACAAGGAAGGCAAAACACGCTGTGGTGACAAACATGCAAGCAACAAARCAGACTGAGGAGAGAGAACAGAATATAAAGTGGAACTAACATGCTACAACAAGAAACACCTGGGAGAGAAACATGAGGAACATGTGAATGTGGGAAGGGCTGGAGCAGAGACAGTCAGGAGGAAGTAAACAGAAAAAAAGTGGAATACAGAAACAAAAAAGAGTAACCAAAAACACTTACAAAACAGATACACAGACCATGACAATATTACCATCTATTTATGGTTTAAAATTAAGGTTCTGAAATAGTTGGAAAATTACTAGTAGAACAAAGAGCACTTTGTCTTTTTTAATAATAATTTGTCACTGCAAGATGCTCTAAAATGTGGAGTTCCACAAGGGTCCATTTTGAGTCTACTGTTGTTTCTGATTTACATCGATGATTTACCAAAATTGACAGTGTTCAGAATTGGAAGTCAGAAGGTCCAGCCTGTCAGCCAGGACCTGTATGTTTGAGGCCTTGGGTCTTCTCAGTAATATAAACAACCCTCTCAGCTTTCCAGCATCTATTCCAGGCTGTACTAAATATTGTGTTTAATTTTTATTTTTCAATTAAGTACAAAAAAAATCTTGCTGTAATTATTTTAGACATCCCCAAGTATTTTTTTCTTGTTTTGTTTTGTTAGTTGCTGAACAATTTAAGTGATCCTGAAAAGGGGATTTTTTTTTTTACTAAACATTACGTAAGTTTCTTCATATTTAAAGTAACTTCCTCCTCACTCATCRGAAATACCAAATTGGTTGTTCTTTTTTTTTTCTTTGGATTGCTTAAAAATAGATGACTGTCAAACAGAAACAAAGAAAGCTTTCTWCACAGATTGCATTTTGATGAAAGCGCAGTGCAACAAAGCTTGCAACAAAAGCAGTCACTGTTGGCACAAGGGACAAACCAAAGAATGGATAGAAGTCAGAGACATTAGACAATGGAGGCTGAAACCACCACGCACACACAGCTGGTTACCTGAGGTCGGGTGGAACGGGACAGATGTGGAAAAGACAGATCCTCCATCTCAGAACCGCTGGATCCAGAAGACGAAACACTGATTTGGTCAGCTGGGAGTTTCCTAGAACCATCGATTTGTGGCAACAAACTGAAGACAGAGAACTTACTTTAAGAACTATGCTGGAATAAAAAAAATACAATAAAATGAATAATATGATCATTATTTTATGGAAGCCAAGAGCGGACCTTTTCTGCATATAATTTTTCCCCACGGTTTTCTCGTGATAAGTTAATTTCCTGATTTTTTTTCATGTTTTTATTTTTTGAGGTAATGAGTTACGGTTTTCCTCTCGTGCATCATCCSGTAACCTGAAGACAACCTGGTCCCCTCAGCTGGTAAATGATGAAGTTTATCATCAGCAGGATCACTTAAGAGTAAAAGCCTGTTGAGCTACAGTCGGGCCAGCCGTCTCCTTAAATGACGACAGCTGATTTGAGTTATTTTTACAAGACAAACTGCAGTTTCAGCCTTAGTTATGGTATATTAAACATCATCAGTGACCAGCTGAGGGGACCAGGCCATCTCTATGGTTACTGAATGATGCACAAAAGAAAAACCATAACTYGTCATCTCAAGAAAACCACTGGGAAATGAACTTGCCATCTTGAGAAAAAGCTCATCGTTATTTCGTTAACATGAGAAAACCATGGAAAAAATTATATGCGGAAACCGTCCACTTTCGGCTTCCATATTTAGGATTTTGCATTCTTTGAAAGAATTTCTGTCAATATGCACATCACCTTTCTTGCCAGAGTTTTTTAATCAAACATTGAAAATAACATGAGCAATCTCATGCAATAAGTAAGTACAACAAGATGTCACTGTTGTGTTGGAAATAACCTTTGGCTACAAAACTTTGCTCAATATCTGTAAAACTGAGTAAAACATATTTTGGGTTGGCTACTGTTGATTAGCTGTGATGACATACATTGAATAGACTGGGGGGCTCTGCAGTGACTAAGTGGGGGGTTCCTGGATATGGGAAGAGTTTCTGAAAATCAAATTGAATATTTTACTAATTATCATTGTACACTAACAGCGTTGTGCTGGTCAATACTTTCTGTAATCAATCATGGTTGACAGCAACACCTTTCAACTTCCCCCACAAGTCAGTTGGACCAATCACAGTTTTCCCCAACTCCTCCCACGCYAAAAAATGTTTGCCTTTTTCCCAAACTACACCTACACCCAGGAACCTCCCACTTAGTGATTGCAGAGACCACTACTTGGCTGTAGATGAATGCCCTATGATTATTTTCTCAATGTTTTATTAAAATCTGTACATTGGTTCAAATGATATTTTAGTTCCAAACAAGTAGGAGTGACTCCTATTGAAACTTAAAAGTTTTAAGCAAGGATATTATGCAAAGAGTTGCTCTTAGTGTTTATGTTGTAAATGAGTCTAAGCTTCAATCACACCAAAGTTTAGCTTAKTATCTGTAAAATAGATCAAATTTTATTTATTTTTGTGTTTTTTAAAGTTTGCTGTGATGGTCATATTGAATTAAATTGGCTCTAAACATTAATCAGCTGTAGATTCATTTGGTATTTCCTAAAGGTTTCATTATAATATTTCCAGGGACTCCAATTAGTTAAAGATGTTTTTTTAAGTAAATAGCTCTTGGGCAAGCTGTGAGTGAGTTTAGGGTAACTCTCAGCTACCGTCTGAGTAAAAAACAGTTTAGGAGTTGCTTGATTGGTATGCTGTGGCAGCCATCTTGAATCAGGTTGATTTCACAAGGTAATCGATTGTAGGTATACGTCCTAAAATTACTTTCTTAAATTTTAATAGTGTGTGAAAATGTGTGGGAAATTTTGGTACCTTGCATAAAAACACAGACAAAAATAAAAATAAGCACTTATTAGATGATGTGTTTGTTTTAACTGTGTCTTTGTGTTTCTGAGCAGAGCAGCCTGATACTTACAAGGAGAGTTTCTTGGTGAGGGAGCGTTTGTTGCAGGACGGTGGAGAACACGTGTCAACCGGAGGCTCGAGACATCTTGAAAGTTCATAACTTTAATGAAACACACAAGTACTTTAATACTCGATTTGAGGGCGCAAGGTGTCTAAAAAACTACAACTAATGAAAAGCAGATTTCTTCCTTAAGTTAAAGATCAAGAAAGCAGTATATTATAAAAAAAAAAACAACCATGATAATGCAGCTTTCAGTTTATACAGCAGTCAGTGTTTGATTATGTCTCGACAGCACGTTCTTTGCATGTGAGTCTCTCATGTGTCAAAGGATAAAACAGTTTTTTGGTTGTTTTGACTCACCTCTCCTGATCAGTAAGCGGCTTATGTTCATGTATACCAGCAGTGATTTTAGGGTAATGAGGGAGATTATACTGGGAACATGACGCCTGCATCCCCTGAATCTGTGAAAGGATATCAAATTCCTGTAGGAAAGAGGAAAAAAATAAGAAATGTTGATGGATAAATGAGAAAACTAAAGCAACAACACACTGGAAGATGTTACAGAAGGTCAGCTTTTTAGTGGTTRCATTAACTCGCTGAATCAACAAAGTGATACGAGAGAGTGAGTTCTGTTTCAGGGTTCTGTTCGCATTAATCTGTAAATGATTAAAACGTGTCAGGTGATTTGAGCTTCTAATAAGTGCTAAAGTATGCGTCTTACTTTTTGTTTACTCTGACAAAACCTGTTAGCTTTTCACACCCAAACAGCATGTAGGAATTGAAATATGCCACACCTACACCCTTGGACTGTGGTTTTGCTTGTTTAAAGACATAAAAAAGGAAGATTGWATTAAAAAAGGAGGAACCCTGCTTACCCTTCTCCTCTTCTCAAAGTTTATGAGTCCACCCTGTTGAAAGAGTCAATTTTTAGTACTTTAATACATAAAACAGTAAATATACTGGTGAATATCCTAACTATTCATGTACAGTAGATGTCTCGATGTGTCTGAAATGCATCTGTGGACTTCTAAAGTCTATCTGAATTTCAGAATGTAAAGTGTAAAGTATTTACTGATTATTTTTAAATGTGCAAATAATTTTGAGTAATAGTTCCATTTCAAGTGAGAAGTTATAAATAATCTTGCTATCGATACACACACCCCAAACATTTGCACTAGCTATTTACTTATCTAAGTCACAGGACACCTTGTGAGTCAAAACTTACAGAGCACGGTTTTATTTTGATCCAACATGGCAGCTTTAGAAATGGCGGCCATGTTCTAGACATAGCCTAAAAGATAGCTGCCCCCCATCCCCACTTTACTTAAGATTGACATTCRATTTAAATGAACTTTTCGCTGCTATGTACTAATATTTAATCCCTAATATGAAGTAAATTTTGTGTATGTTTCATTTTTGTCTGCACGATTTACCTGCACAGTGTCTGGCAGAGCTGTGTCCAACATGGTGAGGCTGGACAGATAGGTGCCCAGGTAAGGAACCACTCCACTGGAGGTACTCTGCAAGCACAACATGTATGAACACCTATCTCTTTTATTTGTTTTGTCTCTTATACCACAGCTTAAATATGACAATGTTCATAAATGTCTWTCAGTCAGTCAGCAGCACTGAGCTTATATTACAACCCAGAATGACCTCAGTCCAGTCTATTATTATCAACCAAAGATCCAGGTGACCTGGGAGTCATTTGAAACCTGCCTAACCCCTRTGCTAAAGATAGGTTCTGGTCTTGACTGTGCCAGAGATTCTCCACCCACACTTAGGGGGAGAAATCAGCTCTCATGTGGCTTACAGAGGAGTAATATTAGAATGAAAAAAAATCCATGCATCTTTGGCCTCACGTGAACGTTACACTCCCAAGATAAAAAAAAACAGCATTTTGTTTCATTCCCACGGCATGATCAGTTTATGCTCAGATGTGTGCCTTTTGGCTTAATCACATTTTAAATGCCCCTTTTTGTCACTGTAAGGTTTGACTCACCATCTGTCTGAGGAGTTGACACTTCTTGGGTATCTTTGGAGAAACGTTATCCACTGTGGCTTGGTTTCCATCCTGTTAATGACAGTCAAAGCAGGATTCATTTTAAGGTTGCAGGCACATATTGGCGTGAGAAGAACTTCCATTACACATTAGCTTGAAATATCCTGTTTAGAAGGTTTTTTTTCTTTTTCAAATGAACAGAGGCCATTCCTAAACCTCTGAAGCCTTTATATGTGTACAGACAGTTCTGTAAGCAAATGAGGGTCAGTATTTTCACTGATAAAAAGCCTCCTTTATGAAAATAGGGACAGTATTTCTTAATGAAGAGTTGTTCTTGTTCACCAACAAATACTAACAACTGTTTACAAAAAGTGCTGGWGATCTGTTTACTTTAGATCGCTTTCCCTAGAACTGAACAAAAACAAAGTCACCAGAAAATGACTTCCAAAAACAGCATTGAAAGGGAACGTAATGTGCTTGAGGACTGTTTACTGTTAATATTCTGTTCCTTCCTGCAAACATTAACTCAAGACACAATCTTTTTAATTATTACAAGAGTGAAATTCATGGGCAAGAAGACAATCATTTCCAGTGTAAGAAACAATCATTGCACTACGTATGTTCTTTAACTGAACTTTGACATCTTTTCATGCCGTATTTGTTGGTCTTATCCACAATCTTTGGGGTCTTTTCTTCTTGCTAGTGCTCTCACTGCTCTACTCTGGTGTACTTCAGTTTAGTAATTTAGCTCCTGTTCTCCTTGTGTTAAAGGAAAGTCAAAACCAAACCCACACCAGAAACATGGACATCACCTTCTTTCAAATCCATCAGAGTTAGGGTTAGGGTTAGGGTTAGGGTTAGTAGGGTTTTAACAGTTCAGACAGAGCATTAGCATAGCACAGCATGATACTGTGTGTTGTTATTGTTGGGTCATTGCTATGTAACTTTCATTATGGCATTTATATATGGGGTTTATTTGATATTTCAAAGTAATGGTTATACTACAYTAAGATGACGCTTGTTATGTAAAGAGACAATATTTGTGGACATAATCAAGAAAGCTGTATTTTGATTTAGAGAATGTATCTGTTGTGCATTACTTTTAARAGAAAACATATTTTTGACAGATGCTTTTACAGGATCTTTGCAAACCCCTTTGAGAGCATCTATTTCTGGCTGTCATCAAACCTGAAGTTAACTTGTGCTTGCATTGTTGGTGATCAGTTCAAACTCCAGCTTCACACCAATTATTCCTCACCTCCACTAGGAGCTCTTTGTTGATCAGAACACAGTTCTCRTCAGGAAAAGTCATCCAGAGGTTTTCAAATGCAGCTGTGCTGTCTCTGCAAAAAACAACAAACCCTATATTAAGTGTCATGCTTAAACTATTATCCATGTTAAGTGTTAAAGATCCACACATAATGGTTAGCTTGCACTGTACACTGTTTTAACACCTTGAACGATATTGACCTGAACTAGAATCTGGSTCATTGCTTTCAAACCATATTTCTGCTGACACCGCAAAAAAACAAAGTTATAGGATTGCACTTGAAGAGGGTTCAAAGGCCTCATTAAACAATGATTATGTAGAAATTCATATCATTTATGAGCGTAACAACAAACTAAAGAATGTGGCCTTTGAAATAGAAATGATCCAACCTTGAAACAGCAGCCCAAGTCTTCCTCAGCCTGTGAATTGCATTTGAATGAAGGGCAGACAGGATGGCCTTCAGAGAAGAGAAGTTTTTYAAGCGACGGCATTCCTGTAAAAGAAACAACTTGCATGTCAAGGAAACTATTCTAGGCATGTTTCTGTCTTCTTAGATTTGCACAAGACAAACCTTCTAAAAAAAGAGTCACCATTTTTAGCTCCTAAAACTCACCTGTGCTACTTTGATCCACTTCTCTATGATGCGAGCCCTCTGCACCGCTGATGTGGGAGGCACACGGGAGGACGTGCAAGGAGGGCAGAGCAGGGACGCAATGACCCAGTTGGTGATGGCATTGAATTGGGCAATAGTGGCACGAATGGTGGGAGACATGTTCTCCTTCTTGTCTCTTTGGGACCACATGCAKCCCAAACACTGGTAGGGAGCCACTTTGATGAACAGAGCCTGAAATGTCCAGCGACAGCTGTCAGTCACTATCAAAAAAACTGAGTGCRGACAATTAGAAATGTTCTCTAACATACAGAGTCTATTCGGGTGAGCTGTTCTGCAATGGCTGTAGCGGAGAAGTCCATGACGTTGCCTTGACCTAGTGAGTTTTCACATTCTGAGTCCTCATCAACCGATACCTCCTCATCTTGGTCAAGGTCTGCTGCAGCAGAGTCGACCTTTGATGCTACTTCTGAAACRYGTACCAAGAATAAAGAAAATGTAAGAAGTTTTATTGGGTTTTTACATCATTCCAAGCAACTCGGACTTTAAGACTGAGCAACAAAGCCATGCTGCAAATAGGGTATGTTATGAGGTGAACGGTCACCTTCTTTGTGGAACCTGTCGAGCAGCTCCTCGGCTTGACTCGCCAATGAGCAGAAGTTGGGCTGGCTGTGCATGTCGCCGTACACTGCGGCGCTGATCCTTAGGTGATCCAACAGCAGCATGAGCGCCGGATGCAGCGAAGGATCCCTGAAGTCTTCACTGTACTCCTCCAACCATGTCTGAACGAAGGTCAGGAGAGAGCTGGGGGGGTGGGAACGGAAGTAACATTACATTTTAACCACAAAAATGACACAATAAACCAGAGGAACTCATTAGAGATAAGCAGGTTAAACTCAAAACTTATGGACCCTACCTCTTGGTGTAATCAGCATTGTCAAGATCAAAGGAAGTACTGTCTCTGTGAGCAAAAATGTATAAAACAAARGATTTAAAAGTCAGAATATGCACAGTATCTTCTTTTTGTACAGAAATCTTTTAATCATTATTTGTGGCTGCCTAGCTGCTATGCTAACTGCTGACGGCAGATCCTGCCGACCACAATCTAAAACCTTGAAGCACATAATTACTGTTGACAGTCTCCAGATAATGAGCACCTGCAAGGCACTCCTGATTATATCAAAGCTGGGATAAGATGCTTGCTTTATCAGAGGGAACATTGAGTGAAAAGATCTTTCCCGCCCCACCCAACCATCACCACCACATCGTGACTCTGCCTGAGCAACAAAACAAAAAGGGTTTTTTTAAGTATAAAGCAAACTTTTTATCTTGTGGGAAATCACTAGACTGGTAGGAACTGTGTTCCAAAGCTGGCACAAAGCCTATAGAAGAGTGTTTAGATGTGTGAATAAGTGCTAATGCATATGTGTTGAAGCCTTCTGAATGTTTGCCCATTTTTCTTCTTTACAGCTCAATTTTCAGTTTGTTACACCTCCTGCTGCTTTAGGATGTGTGCTTTAGGAAAACCCATACCTTTTCTAACAACTGTATTAAAGAGCCTGTCACATCAAATTTTTGTATTTAATATGAAGGCATTGATGACATCTTGTAAAAAATAAAAATCACGCCGCTGAGATGAACAGTTGTTGAGATATTTGCAACATGACAGGATGGATGGATGGATGGATGGATGGATGGATGGATGGATGGATGGATGGATGGATGGATGGATGGATGGAGCCAAGCTCAAATGAAAATATGCCACTTGTTTGTCAAAATAAGTGAACAGATGAACATTAAAGTTTCTTAAATATAAAGATGTTTTCTTTGACTTTTTGTATTTGAAGGACAGGCATGTCACAGGCACTTTAAACACAGAGCTAACAGYGTTAATCATTGTTGGGCATAACTAGAATACAAACTTTAACAACTGCAGTATGATACAAATTTATTCATTGATGATTATTGTGTTTTTTTCTTTTTAACAATTATGGTAATAATTTTCCATTAGCATGTTTTTATGCTAAAATAGATTTCTGGAAATCACCAGGGAGCCTTTACTTAATGTTTTACGACCCACAGTGGGGTCTCAACCCCAACTTTGGGAACCACTGGCTTGGATAATTACAGAAGTAATCTAAGCTTTAGAGAAGATTGATGATATTGGGGTTTCAAGGAGTAGCTCCATTCAAAACATTTCCATAAATGATCTATTTTTTTCCTCAATAATAAATATACTGAAGAAATAAAAACAGTCACGCGTCAGACCCAGTTATGGACGTACTTGTGAAAGAGCATCTCTATGAGCTTTGTTGTGCTGGTAAAAGTTCTGTATGTGGAGAGAAAGATCCGGCTGTAGTCGTGCTCCTGGTTTCTACAGTTGAGGAGGTGACTGACCAGCTGGTCCAGGGTGGCAGCCTTCAGGCGCCGCACCTTGTAGGTTCGGTACTGGATGAAGCCACAGCATGTTGAGCTGGTCTCATCGGGGCTGGGGGACGTGAGAACGGGCTCCCGGCGCAGAGTGACTCCGTACACCACTCCGTCCTCGGTCTCCTCACCCCACTCCTGCACTGGATTCTTAGAAGAACAGRGGAGACAAATAGAAGGTTTTTATTTTCAAGCACAAACTCTAAACATAGTTTGCACCTTTATACTGGTCAAAACGCACAGTTATACACTGAGTAATGTTTGTGGTTATAACAGAAGGGTTGAAAGACAAGCCATGAAGATATAAAAATACTAACAAGTCATCATGACCAAGCAGCGAGCTACACACAAATTAGTGACATACAGTAATAAGGGAGTTGCACTGATCCTTCATGGACCACAGCAAATACGTCATGTTTAATACCCATCATCTACACTGACTGCACCAACAGATCAGCATATGAAGACAACGATAACAAGTTTTAGGTTTTTAGGTAATGCACACCAAAATGCAACCATTACAAGTCTTTACTTCCATGAAATAAAATGTAAGGTCAATTGACCAAAGGGGTTCACAAGAGAGTTTAGAACAAATAAGAAAATCAATAATAAAATAAATGTAAATCTCAGGTATCAAATATCCACAAGTGGGTGTATCCATAAAGTGTGTGTGGGGAGGGACAAACTAAAACAACAAAGTATCACAACAAACTTCTGATGAAACTGAAACCGAACTTCACTTAGAAATCAGTGTAAAGAAATGAGTTTTCAGACGACTCTACAGACTGCAGGATGAGATAAAGGGGCAGGTTGTTCCACTGCAAAAGCCMAATATCCTCTGTGCTTTAATTAAACCCTTGACTGCACTACAAGCATCTGACTGGAGGACCTCAGTCCTGTTTTAAGATCATAAAAGTCAAAAAGTTCTGATAAGTAATTGGGTGCCGAGCCATTCAAAACTTTAAAGTAAATAAAATAATCTTAAAATCAATATGAAAATGAACATGCAATTTGCTAAAACTGGAGTGAGGTGGTCACGTTTTCTGATGGATGGATGGATGGATGGATGGATGGATGGATGGATGGATGGATGGATGGATGGATGGATGGATGATGGATGATGCTTTATTGATTCTTTGCAGGAACTTACAGAAGAAATAAAAGTTAACAGATGTGCAGTTGTTCTGTACTAACTGCAGATGATGGAATGCTGATTGTTTAAGACCAACATATATTTTAAAAAACTGCAGTAGTTCATTATGGAGGTGATGAAATTATTGGTCTGCCCACACCCAACCTTTCTGAACTAAATAATAAGGCCATCACAGGCATTGTATTATTAACARCACAGGACATCAATAACACCTCACTTTACTGCCCTCGGGTAAAGATACAGGATGTTGTGTTACAGGACAACTCATTTTGAAAAAAGCTTGAAGCTCACAGTTATAAACACCTTAAACAATAGACCTGTTAAGGATACCATTTTATGTTGAACTTTGTGTGATGATGTTTTGTTATGTTTTGTCTCATGCTGTATGGTAGTTAACCATGGTTGGTTGTTACTAACTACATGCTGATGGGAGTGAAGGGGCTGGTTTGTGGAAAAGAATGTCCCCTTGTAGGACCATAAAGTTTTAAGTCTAAAAGCATAGATAATTGTCTTTTTAAGGGATGTATTATGTTGCTTTGGCAATTACACATAATAAAACCTAGTTTTTAAAATTGAAGTTATTTGCTTCTCAAATTTAAGAGTTTCTATAAACTTTAATGGATTGTCTGCAGGAGAAGGCAAAGCTGCAATAATATTTTTGCCCACTAAGTAATCATTTTAGAAGTCACCTATTAGTTTGGTGCGGTAGTGGCTTAGAGTCATATCAAAACAGACTCTGAGCATTTACACCTTTCTCAGGATGTGGCTGTGCTGTGAACAAAACCTCTTACACCTTTAATAAAGTTTTCACACTTTTTTCTACAACGAAGCACCGTCAACTTTCCAGGAATTTAGTGGGCACGCATAAATGTTTATGGATAAATACAGGAGAACTGCAGCGTGAGCACAACAAAGCAAAATCCTGAATACCAGAGGGCTTTAACTTTCCATTGTGTCGGCTCAGAGCTCACCACAGGTCTGCAGCTCCTACAGCAGCTGGAGCTGCAGACTTATTAAAACAGACCAGCTTTTCATATATTCAAACCAGAGGTCGGGACTCTTTAGATCTCAGCGAAGGCTGTTCAATCATTTTTCAAGCGAAAGCGCCAACAGCAGACTCTTGGCATGACACCGAGGAAGCAGTTTTATCAGATGTGCATACTGAGCACCTTGTTCAGGCTTTCAGCTCATCTGAACCGTAAGAAGACAGCAGCTGGTTGCATAATGCCAGTTAATGTGCCCATGTTTTTTTTTTTGTAAGAAAAAAAATTAATAAATACAAATGAATGCCTATTGTGATAAGAGGACACTTTACTACATCACAGGCTTGATGATCCATATTCAGTTCAAGMAGATGTTAGCCTTTTGATTTTTACAATTAATCTGATTTAAATGCAAACCTAACCCCTCGGGGCGGCTCAGACATCCCGGCTTCCATCTTTTGATCTCCAAAGTGAAACAAGAAGATGAGACGCAGCTCGCTGAGTGACTTTGTCATTTAAATACCGTGACCCAGATTTAAATCAAACTCGCTTACTTTTCCTACAAAACAAATGCTGGCATACTGTAAATACCAGCTCTGACATGACTGCTGACTAAAACATCTGAGTTATGTGCAAATGGATCAAATTAACTTCATTTATTTTACAAGTCCATTCTAGGTTGAAATGAGAATTTATGTGTTTATTTGTTTTTACTGTTAGCAAAGTAGGGCTTATATTACTGGATATTTCAAGGACTCTGCAAAAGTAATCACTAGGTGTGAATCTATAACAACTAATTTGTGGACTCAACCTAATAATGTTGGTTGCTACAACCAGCTGGCTTTAGAGAACACAACGACTGCATCGCAGCCAATCATAGATGTTGCCCTAAAATTTGGTGTGGTAGTAGCTGGGTGTTGTCCTCAATGGATATTCTGAGCGCAACACAATGAGCAAGATTGTTGATTAAAACTACACTGTTAATTGTTGTTAACCCTTTTTTGTTCTGTTAGCATATGTACAGCATCTCTTGAATCACCAGAGGAATTTTAATGAAACTATCAGTGAATAATTACTGGTTGCTCACTATCCTTTTGGAGTCAACCCAATTCAGTAAGGCTGCCAGATAAATCAGCCTAAGCCAACACAAAAATGGCAAAATCTCTGTGATTTTTACTGAATCTGGGCCAAAGTTTGACATTGTAGATGAGAATTATTCACAATGTATATTCTAAAGTACGAATCAATAATTCAAGAAAACAGTTTGTTGCCTGAGACTGAAAATATTRTTTTTGAGCTTCATAACTCCATCACTTCTTAATATTAAACAATCTCCAGATAAAATGAAAGGTGTCAGGAGATAAGCGGTCATTTGAGAAATACTAGGTCTTTCATTGTAATGGAGTGTTTGCAGGTGCTGGTCACAGATGTGCCGAGCTTCTACAGGGTGACGAGATAGAAGAGCAAAAAATGAAACAAAAGTAAAAGTAGAGTCTAATTAATTACTGTTTACAGCCCGAAGCAGTTTTCAGGATTTAAAATTACAGTTAAAAAACTGACTCTTCTTTCAGAAAAATCACAAGGTTACATATTTACCCAAGAAGTAAACAGGCATCCATTTATCTGAGACTGAAGCTGTCGTTTTTTTTTAATTTGTAAGAAAAATAGTTTGTCATTTGTTTAGCAATGACAGATAGACCATTAAAAACACTGAAATGTGATGTTAAAACTATTATATTTTAGAATTTGTTTATTTTTGTGGCCCCAGAGGACTTAAAGTGCTGATTTGCTCCACCATTTGAATATTGAGACATCAAGTCAAACTTACCATTGTTATCTCCCATTTTCCCATCTCGTCAAGTCTCTCAAGAACTGTGGCTCTTCATCTTGACAGAAACCTCTCTTGAAATGAGCTCTAAACTTGTTGAACCATAAATGTATTTAAAGCTTATCTTCACAGAACTTGAAATCAAATCCTTTTTAAAAGAATTATCTTGAGCTACAACAGCAAACCTGATTGAGAATTTTAAAGACAACTGTCAACAGAGTTCTTGCTTGCTTCTTTTTGTGTCTTTATAAAATATGTCCAGCTTGTGTCCATGTGGCCGTTTGTCCCAGGGCCAACAGAGGTGAGGGTCAGGTTGCTCCAACTTGTCTGAGCGGAAGAGTGAGATCCAGGAGCACTGACTGCAGCTGAGAGCTCTGATCTGTGACAGCAGAGGAGCCCGAAACTGGCTGGGTTTTATAGGAGGAGGAGACTCCTCAGGCAAAGTATGAGGGGAGGTGTGGCACTGTGCGTGTATGTGGACTTGTTTCTGCTACAGAGTGAGGACTACCTTTTGTTTTTAACCAGCAAACGGAGGTCRTTTTTTGGAAGTTTGGACATATTTCTGGTCCTCACTGTTTTTGCAGTTCTACTGCGCTCTACCAGTTAGGTTTAGAGGAATGGCGTGAATTGAGTTATGGTTCAGGTTAGTGTTCATAATAGTGTATTAATGGTTAGGGTTATGGAAAAGCTTGGGGTTAAGCATAAATGCAGTTAAAATAAGAATGGAAGTCAGTACAAAGTACTGCTCGATGAAATTACAAGGATGTGTGTGTGTGCACATTTTTGCTAAAATAATAGGGACCATTTTCTAGAGAAACACAGCTGTGTGGGGACYCAATGCTCCTCATGAAAACCAAAGTCTGGTACCTATGCTGATTTTGGTTGGGGGGTTAGGTTTAGGACCAAGATGTGAATTGAGTTTAGGCTAGATTTAGGGTTTGGTATGTACTGGGGTGGTTAGGTTTGAAAGGTCAAGGTTAGGCTATAGAAATGACYAGAAAATGAATGGAAGTCAGTGCAAGGTCCCCACAGTGATAGAAAAACAATCTGTGTGTGTTTGTGTGCATACAATCCTTTTGAGTCTATTTATGTTCAGTGATCTGAGAAATACACCAACAATGATTTAATTATTGTTTTACATTGAAGGCAAAGTCGTGAGAAAAACAAACATGTAAAATTAGAGCTCATAAAATTTAGACCTTTGTAAATAACATTTAGGCCTTTGTAAATAATACTGTAGGTTGGTATAACAGTGTGACAAAAAGAAAGTGTGACTTTCTTCTCACTTTATACTTATTTTAGCACTAAACTRAGTCACCGGGTCAGTTCACTGACCAATAACAGTTTATTTGTTCATCCTTAAATAATAAGACTCTTAAACGCTGAAGCATGACTTTGTATGATTAAAGGGAAACCCTTAATCAATGAATATTTAGCTAAATGAGGAGGAAACCAAATTTCCATCCATTTTTTACCTCACTTCAGAGTCATGGGGATCACCGGTGCCCATATCCAGCAGTCAGGGGTGGGGTACACCCTGGACAGGGCCGTCTAGAGACAAACAACTATTCACTCTCTCACTCACACCTACAATGTARAGTTATCATTTAAGCAGTGGTGGACAGTAACAAAGTACATTTACTTAAGTACTGTACTTAGAAACATTTTTGAGCATCTTTACTTTACTTGAGTAATCATTTTTTGTGGTTCTTATTACTTTCACTCCACTACATTTCAAAGACAAATGTTGTAATTTTGACCCCACTACATTTCTAGGAAGCTTGTTAGTTCCTTGCTACTGTAGGTTCAGCATTGCGTTGTAATCAGCTGTTGCTGTTTTTCTTTCTTGAAATGCCACACTATGTTCCTCACAAGGGGAACCAATTCACAGTTGTAACTCACACCTGGAATAGATTTGGAATTACATCATTTTCATTAACTGTCGCAAGCTGAGCTCCAGCAATGGAGACGATTGAAGAGAGTAGAGAAACCATGGCCATATCTCAGCTCGAGGTTTGAGATTTCAGGACTGAAAAATAGTTTGTGTCAGTTTAAATGACTCCTGTGTTCATTGTGGATGAACTACATTTCTGCATTTAAGAACTCACCACTCACTTTATTGTATTTTTATGCAGAAGTCTTTACAGGTGTAGAATTTGGTGGTTCTACATCTCATTTACATCAGGTGGTTTCTGAGAGTTACAAGGTTCTGTAAAATCACTCTGAAAACAACACAGCAGTGTACTGATATTAGAAAATTTAATTTGTACTTTTGAATACTTGAATATTTTAAAATGCATGTACTTTTGAATACGTAAGTGTTTTCAAAAGCAAGTACTTCAGTACTTTAACATGAGTAGAGTTTTGCCGGAGTACTTTTACTTGTAGTTGAGTAGATTTTTGCCGGAGTAACTTTTACTTGTAGTTGATTTGACCCCGAGTATCAATACTTTTACTCAACTACTAGAGTTGAGTACTTTTTCCACCACTGCCTAACAGTCATGTTTTTGGTCTGTGCTGAGGGAGTGCTTGGAGAAAACCCAGGCATGCATGGAGAGAACATGCAAAATCTACCCAGAAAGGTCACCAGCCAGGATTCGATCCGRCAACCTTCTCGCTGGGAGACAACAGCTCCACCAACTGAGCCTTCCAAAAATACCAAGAAAGCAAATTTGTCTTTTGGAATACTATTTAAAAAATATGAATCAAAAATGAATAAAATAATGAACACAAACTAAGATCCACACAAATAAAGGCAAAAAAAAAGAATTTGAAGAATATCTAGTTTGAAAAAGTTGCCGAGTAATTTACTTAGATTNGTCCCCCACCCAAGCCACTACAATTTTGGGATGCACTTAGTGGCATGACATTTATCAGGAATAAAGACTTCTGAATTCTGGTGCATTTGTGCGTGCGGGGGTCCTTCTGTTACTGCTATGTGGTATCTAGTTATCCACAAATCTGTCGCGGTTAAAGCTCCACAGTTTTTATCGGAATCTTCTGTGCACGTCTGTTTTATCTCCATTCATGAGTTTTTACGGTTTTACTTATAAAAGTCTGCTTCCTGTTAACAGCTGGCTCAGGAAGCGAGTCGTCCGAGCACTTTCAGCACAAACACACAGGCCCATGAACTTCTGACGAATCACACATTACCGTCGTAGTGGGAGGGGGGTAAAATGTTCAGCTGGCAGGTTGTGCCAAAAGGGGCAGCCGAGTCGACGCTGAGGACATTGGTGACACAATTTTTGCCATGAAACTTGACATCCATGCCGACTTTGGCAGTTCGGAGGGAGTGTGAATTTTGCTTAACACTACAAAACCTAAAATGAAGCAGAACTGCTGGTGTTGTTGCCATGTTTACCTTTGTAGTTGTAACTGGCATCTGGTATTGACTTTACACCTCACTACTGTCACTCACTAGCCTGGCCCTTGCCTTCCTACGCAGCTCCACTCAATTCTAGTTTCCCTTCACTGCTCCGTTTGGGATTTCTCCCATTGAGATGGATTTCGCTGGCAGATTTTTAGCTGGGCCAATCAGAGAAGAGAACATCGATTTTCTGCACAGAGTCTGCTTGTAGTTTATTTTACCTCGGCCAATCAGTAAACAGAAGGAGTAGTTTTGAACGACGTCGATGTTCTGCACAGTGTCTGCTAGTTAGTTTAGCAATGACAGTGGAGGAAGTGAATGAAGCCAGTCTGTGTTGATAAGGTTTCCAAATTAAATTAAATTTGACTGACAAAGCAGCAGCTCTCATTTACAGCCGTCTCGTTCGGCTCAGTACTTCTCTCCTCTCAGTAGGGTTGTTTACAGCAACGCATGATTTCCGGTTAGCTTCTTAGCTTAGCCTCCGTCACAGCGACATACGTCGCAGCCAACTGATCCAATCATTTTAAACTTCAGCAGAGGCCACGTCTCCTGCAAGAAACGCTTCTCTATTCAGCAAGTCCAGACCCTTGTATGAAGCAAAGTGAAGGACAGGGTCTGGTTTAAACCAGGCTAGTCACTCACTGTTCCAGCTACAAGTTCAGTAGTTGGAACAGTTCGCAATCAGTGGGATTTTCTAAGTGCTGTGCTGAGTAACCAGGCTGTTATCAGGAACATGTCTCTTTGTTTTATGCCAGAGGTGCCCAATCCTGGTCTTTGAGGGCTATTATCCATATGTTAGTTGTTTCTCTGCTTTGACACACCTCATTTGATTAAATCATTGATTAACAAGCATTTGCTGAACTTATAAAGATGCTGAATTGCAGGTAAATAACTGAAACCTGCAGGATAGTTGCCCTTGGGGACCAGAATCTGAGACTTTCATGCATTCAAACACTGAAGCAAAATGTTGGGAGGTAAATGTAGTGCAGAATATGTTTGTCTGATTTAGTGAGACATAAACTGACAGAAGTGTACAATTGAATCCTACAGTTTGTCACCATGTGTCATGCTCATGGCAGCCATACTGGATTCGGAGGATTCTAGGCAAATATTCTTGCTATGGTCTCATCATTCATCATCTGAGTGTTGAGTGGCCATTTTTTGAAAATCGTGGGTTGTTGGGTTTTTTTTTTTTTTTTTTTTTTTTTTTTTTTTTTTTGTACCACTTGCAAAAAATGCATTCTTGGCTGTGCACATTATTCCTTTGCCTACATCTGTCCATATCAACTCACTTTATTATCTCCTTCGCACTTCAGCGCTCTTGAGACAGACTGGAGATGCCCACAATACGTATTTTGTTTTCGAGGAAAGTTGTTTCACGTATTGGTAAGTTCAAAATGTAAGACAGGGCAGTGTCACTCCGATACTCACAACAAGAATTTAAGAACGCCATAAATGTCACAAGACATTCTGGAGACATTCTGGAGACACCCTTGTGAACGCTGTTTGTCAACATGGCCATGTGAGAGACTTCCATAAGCCATGTTGACAGATTTCTTTCTACCAAGAAAAATTTAACAAATAAAATCAAGACATTTTCCTGATTCCTAAAGTGTAAAATATATTTTTATTCCACAACTAAAAATTTACGCTCAGTGTCTGTTCACTGTACATACACACCACCTGAGCAGATTCCAGCCTTGATTGGTATTCAGACTAATTGTTCAGAAACTGGTCCTGCAGGGACTGAAGCATCTTAAATTCTACGTTAGACGCATTTGTGTCAACACAGGCAGAGTACGTAAGCAGAAATGCATTCCCTCCATTGGCAGATTAATGCTTTCCATGAAGTCTAAACCTTCAAATGCATAGTTGAGTGGCACCAACCGCTTGAAAACATTTATGGAAAAAATACAGAAATGTGGAAAGAATCTATGAAAACAGATCACACTTGACACATAAAACAAGAGATGCTTTTGAACATTTGGTTACCTGCACACACAAGACAC